AAAAATTAGCCAGGCATGGTAGTGGGCACCTGTAATCCCAGCTACTCAGGAGGCTGAGGCAGAAGAATCACTTGAACCTAGAAGGTGGAGGTTGCAGTGAGCCAAGATCACACCACCGTACTCCAGCCTGGGTGACAGAGCAAGACTTCATCTTGGGAAAAGAAAACACAGTTCCCACTTCTGTAAAATGGGAACCATAGTGCCAGTCATTCCAATCTACGAAGCAGACAGTGGCTCCAAAGCAGCAGCGCGCCATGGAGCGTGCAGTAGGACTAGACATGCGCTGACGAGGGACAGTGTGAAAATGCTCTGTCAGCAACGAAGTGCTGAACAAATGCCAGCCCCCACTCCTTCCCCTGCTTCCTGGCTTTGCAAGGGTCAGGCCCCTAATCCAGGGGAATAATCGCCATGGCGACGCTGCAATGACATCAGCTGGTTCCCAGGCTCAGGAACCACTTCTGCCTCCGGCTCCCTGTTGGGGAAGGATCATTCATTTCACTGCTGACATAGGAGGCCCTCAGAGGGTGGAGCTGGGGTAGGGGCTGAGAAAGGAGGGTGCCTAGAATTACCACCACCTTGCTGTGTGTCTCTAAGCAAGTCAGTTCCCCTCTCAGGGTCCCCTGAAGGGAGCTGGCTAGCTGATCTCTACAAGCCCTCCCATTTGGAATCTGTAACCACTTTTTTTTTTTGAGAAAAAGTATACCTCTGTTGCCCAGGCCGAAGTGCAATGGCATGACCTCAGCCCACTGCAACCTCTGCCTCCTGGGTTCAAGCAATTTTCCTGTCTCAGCCTCCCAAGTCGCTGGGATCACAGGAATCCACCACCATGTTGGGCTAATTTTTTGTATTTTTAGTAGAGACAGGGTTTCACCATGTTGGCCAGGCTAGTCTTGAACTCCTGACCTCAGGTGATCCACCCACCTTGGCCTCCCAAAGTGCTGGGATTACAGACGTGGCCCACCATGCCCGCGTCTGTGACCGTTTTTAGCACCTTTACACCCTGACTGTGGAGAATCAAGACAGGGAAGACTCTTTGAGAGGCCTCTGGGTAGGGAGGGGTGGCAGAAGTGAAGGGTGGGGGGCCAGGAGTGTAGGGAGGACCCAGCCTGGAGCCCCTCCAGCGGGGCTCCCTTCTCACCCAGGCAGGAGTGCTTGCCCTGTTGTCTAGGATGGCTCACCAGGGTGCCGTGGGGGTCCCTGTGGAGGGAGGGACCTGCCCAAGGTCACAACCCAGTTGTCACTCAGGCCAGGATGCAACTCAGCACTTCGGCCAGCAAACCACACTCCTGGGAGATCCTGGGCTCCCAATTTGGAAACTCTGGTGTCAGGGCCAGGACTGATTGGCCCTGAGGCTCCTGACACCCAAACCACCACCACGAAACTCTAATTTTTATGTCAGTTCTTAGTTATTCTCCCTGGATCTATCTTGCTTCTCATCCCTTCAGACAGGAAGTACAAAATCAACGTTGTTGGATGATGAATGAATTGAATGCAGACACATAATCTCCAAACAAACAAAGGAGCATAACTGGGAAAATACCTGCCTTGATGACCCAACACAAGAAGAAAGGTCATTACTTAAAAACAAAAATTACGCCAGGCATGGTGGCTCATACCTGTAATCCCAGCACTTTGGGAGGCTGTGGAGGGCAGATCATCTGAGGCTGGGAGTTCCAGACCAGCAGCCTGACCAACATGGAAAAACCCCATGTCTACTAAAAATACAAAATTAGCCAGGCGTGGTGGCTCATGCCTGTAATCCTGTAATACTCGGGAGGCTGAAGCAGGAGAATCGCTTGAACCCAGGAGGCAGAGGTTGCTGTGAGCCAAGATCACACCATTGTAGTCCAGGCTGGGCAACAAGAGCGAAACTCCGTCTCAAAAAAAAAAAAAAAAAATGCCAAGCGTGGTGTCTCATGCCTGTAATCCCACCATTTTGGAAGGCCAAGGCAGGTGGGTCACCTGAGGTCAGGAGTTCAAGACTAACCTGGCCAACATGGTGAAACCCTGTCTCTACTGAAAAAACACACAAAAAAATTAGCAGGCATGGTGGGCATAATCCCAGCTACTTGGGAGGCTGAGGCAGGAGAACTGCTTGAATCTTTTATTGCTTGAAAGGTTGCAATGAGGCAAGATGGCGCCACAGCACTCCAGGCTGGGCAACAAGTGAAACTTGGTCTAAGAAAAAAAGCAAAAATTAGGCTGGACTTAAAAACAAAATGGTTCACATCTGTAATCCCAGCAGTTTGAGAGGCCAAGGCAGGTGGATCGCTTGAGCCCAGGAGTTCGAGACCTGCCTGGGCAACACAGCACCCCATTTCACAACATGGTGAAACCCTGTCTCCATAAAAATAAAAATAAAAGCAGGGCACGGAGGCTCACACCTGTAATCCCAGCACTTTGGGAGGCTGAGGCAGGCAGATCATGAGGTCCGGAGATCAAGACCATCCTGGCTAACACAGTGAAACCCTGTCTCTACTAAAAATATAAAAAATTAGCCAGGCGTGGTGGCAGGCGCCTGTAGTCCCAGCTACTCGGGAGGCTGAGGCAGAAGAATCACTTGAACCTGGGAGGCAGAGGTTGCAGTGCGCTGAGATCACACCACTGCACTCCAGCCTGGCAGCAGAGCAAGACTCTGTCTCAAATAAATAAATAATTTTTTTAAATTCATAAATTTTATTTATTTATTTATTTATTTTTAAATAGAGGTGGGGTTTCACCATGTTGGCCAGGCTGGTCTCAAACTCCTGACCTCAGGTGATCCGCCCGCGTCGGCCTTCCAAAATGCTGGGATTACAGGCATGAGCCACCACGCCCAGCCAATTTTTTTTTTTTTTAAATACAAAATGTGTTGAGCAAAATACAACACCAACAATTCCCACTATTATGTGCCTACTATGTGCTGTGGCAACATACTCTGTAACCCATCCCCTTCTAAGGAAAAAGAAACTAGCTCTTAAATGTAGGCCAGGCGCAGTGGCTCATGCCTATAATCCAAGCACTTAAGGAGGCCAAGGTAGGCAGATCACTTGAGGCCAGGAGTTTGAAACCAGCCTGGGTAACATGGTGAAACCCTATCTCTACTAAAAATACAAAAATTAGCCAAGCGTGGTGGTGCACGCCTATAATCCCAGCTATTCAGGAGGCTGAGTCTGGGAAGTCAAGGCCGCAACGAGCCGAGATCGCACCCCTGCACTCCAGCCTGGACGACAGAGACAGACTCTGTCTCAAAAAAAATAAAAATAAAAAATTAGCCGGGCGCGGTGGCTCACGCTTGTAATCCCAGCACTTTGGGAGGCCGAGGCGGGTGGATCACGAGGTCAAGAGATCGAGACCATCCTGGTCAACGTGGTGAAACCCCGTCTCTACTAAAACTACAAAAAATTAGCTGGGCATGGTGGTGCGTGCCTGTAATCCCAGCTACTCAGGAGGCTGAGGCAGGAGAATTGCCTGAACCCAGGAGGCGGAGGTTGCGGTGAGCTGAGATCGTGCCATTGCACTCCAGCCTGGGTAGCAAGAGCGAAACTCCGTCTCCAAAAAAATAAAATTAAAATAAAATAAAATAAAAAATTAGACTCACACAGATGGAGAGGAGAGCTGATGGAAAGAGCCGGGGCTGGAAGTCGTGGTCAAAAGGTTGCTGTGTGTGCTTCCCCACTTCATCATACCCAAGTTCCATTCCCTCTGCTTTCCAGGAGAACCGTCACAGCAAACGCTGAGTGCTGACTCCACACCAGGAATCTTTAAACGCTTAGCATGTACTCCTATCTCACACCATCCTCTGGAGGGAGGTAATCCCCATTTTCAGACAAAGGCACTGTGCAGAGAGGTTACGTAACTTGCCCAAGGTCACACAACTGGTGGCAGCAGATGTAGGATTCAATCTCAGGCCAGCTAGTTCGGGTAAGAGTGATGCCCCTCCACCCTCACTGCTCACAATCTCCAAGGAGGAGGAGAACCCCCCCTGTCATTTCCCACGACCCCATGAAGGTGAGTTGATGAATGTAAAAAGTGGAACAGACTCCTGGCACTTGGCACTTCTGCCTGGGCTCAGGGCCACACAGACACCTCCAGCTTAATCCCACCCCAAGGCCGCTGCCTCTGCTCACCCTGAGGGTGGGGTGGGAGCAGCAGGTGAGAAGGGGGGCTGGGGATCCTGCTGCCAGCCCCGAGTCAGCCAGGCCTGGGCAGGACTACCAGAGGGTCATTTCTGGACGGTTCCGTGGTGACCTCCTCCACAGGGGAGGATCCAGGTGTCCCAGACACCTAAAGTGCCACTTTGGAGACCAATATAGAGATGGGAAAATAAACACAGCTGAAATAGCCCGGGAGCTTAGGCCCAGAAGGGGCATGGAGAGAAGCCAGCTGCCCCCGTGGGTGGGGCTGGTGAGCAGACACGGCTCCCACTTCCCTTCCCACAGGCGGCTCTCGCCAGCCCTGCCCCTGCTGCGGCCACAGGAACCAGAACCTGTCACTGCTCCAGCCTGGCTGGCTCAGCCCTTCCAAGCCTCAAAGCATCAGGCCCAGCCCCCAGCTTGAGGCAAATGGGTTTGCTGTCCCCATTTTACTGTTGAGGAAGAACAGCCCTGAGAGGAACGACAGCTCTGGGCCCAGTCTCAGGCCACACAGCTAGGGGTGGTGGGAAGGGAGACAGGACTGCAAAGAAGGCAGTGCACATTCTTCCCTGCCTGTCCTGGCCGTCAGCCCCCACCCCGAGGACCCCCACCTCCAGGGGACAGAGCTGGGCCCTCAGTGCAAAGCCCTACCCTAACCTTGCACCCCTCAGAGAATACAAATGGGGTCGGAGCTCTCCTGCCTACGGGCCCATCTCTAAGCTTCTTAAAGTGGGACCAAAAGTCTTTATAGAATCACGGGGGAGTCAAAACGCAGATTCTTACACCTTACGCAGAGCTGCCAAGCAAGTCCCTTCGGTGGTGCCTAGAAATCTGCATTCCAACAAGCCCTCCCTACTTGCCGGTGTCTGCTGCATCCTGTAGGGTGGGAGCACGGGGCGGGGTGCCTGTGCCGTCAGCACCGTTCAGAGCAACCGGCTCCAGGGCTAGATTGCAGGGCTTGATGTCTGCCTCTGTCCGTGGGCTCAGGGCAAGTGGGGCAGCCTCTGTAAACATCAGCGTCCCTATCTGTATGATGGAGATAGTAACAGCCACTCTTTCTTTTTTTTCTAAAGATGGGGTTTCACCATATTGCCAGGCTGGTTTTGAACTCATGACCTCAGTTGATCCACCCACCTCAGCCTCCCAAAGTGCTAGGATTACAGGCGTGAGCCACCGCGCCTGGCTAACAGCCACTCTTTCACCAGGTGGCTGTGACGATTAAAAAAAGTCAGGCACACACATGCGCGCGCGCGCGCACACACACACACCCACCCCCCCCCCCACGGGCACAGTCTGGCCCTCAGTGAGACCCTAATGAAAAGTGACCACCATTCTCATCTCTCCAGATCCCTGCCCAGGAACCCAGCAGGCCAGGCCTCTGGGAAACAGGGGGCACAGGCCAGGGACAGGAGCCCCCAAACCCAGAGTGTGGTGCCAGCTTCCCCTGTGGGGAGCAGAAGCAGCCCCTGCCAACAGCAGGCTCTGCCCACCTGCTGCCCATCCTGGCCGGGGGAACCACGTGGAGTGCTTCCTCCTCAAACCCCACCCCTCCGGGATCAGGTGCCAGGGGCAAAAAGAGCTGCAGCCATGGCAAAAAGAGCTGCAGCCATGCTTTTGTGGGACTGACAAAGGCTGAGGGGTTTGAATTTCTCCCCTGAGAAGGGGGGGGAGGGTGTGTGTGTGTGTGAGTGCGTGTGTGAGTGTGTGTGTGTGTCTGTCTGTGTCTGTCTGTCTCTCTCTCTCTCTCCAAAGACCTGCCACCTGCTCCCAGCTCCTTCTGAGCCCCTCCACCCCGGCCCCCATGGCCAGGGAATCTGAGGCAGGAGTTAGGCCCTGGCAGGAATCCGTAAAATCTGGCCAGGAAGCCAGGCCCCTGCCTCCTTGGCTGACAGCAGGCCATGGTGTTCCCAGCAACTTCAGCTTCTGCCACAGGTGAAGGGTGGCAGTTGTGAGCTGCTGCTGCCCGGTCTGTGGGCCTCAGGCCCTACCACGGCTGTGCAGGGTCATGGGCCCCACGCTTGGAATGCAAGACCAGGGCCCAAATCCTGGATCCTCAGTCACCCACTCAGTTCCCTCATCTGTAAAACAGAGACAGTGGGTCTTCTACCTTCCCCCAGAGCCGAGTCAAGGGTAAACAGGGAAGTAACTAAAGCCATTTGCTCAACTATGCAATTTCTTCCTTTCCCTTTTTTTAGGGACAGGGACTCACCCGTCACCCAGGCTGGAGTGTAGTGATGCCATCATGACTGCAGCCTCCAACTCGACAGCTCAAGTGATCCTCCTGCCTCAAATTCCCAAATAGCTTCAACCACAGGTACACACCGCCATCCCTGCTAGGTTTTTTGTTTGTTTGCTTTACAGGGACCAGGTATTGCTATGTTGCCCCAGCTGGTCTCGAACTCCTGGGCTCAAGTAATCCTTCCACCTTGGCCTCTCAGAGCACAGAGATTACAGGCACGAGCCACAGTCCCCACCATAAACTACAAAACTTCTCTACAGCATAAAGAACTATCATGTTTATTATTAAGGTAGAGACTGTTCCTTAGGGAGTGGAGAGTCTCAGGGTGAGACAGCCCTGCATTCAAATCTGTCCGAGTCTAATTTCTCTTCTCTAAAGGGAGGGATCCTACAGCTGCACGGGACTGGGTATGATTAAAGGAGCGCACGTTAACATTGTTATGGCCTCTCCTCCTACCCGCAGGACCTCAGCCAGTCCCTTAACGTCGCTGGGCCTCAGTCGCCTCATCTGTAACAACGGGGAAGACAGCACCTTCCTCACAGGTCAGCTGGGAGGATTCCCAGAGAGGGTACATGGAAAGCTCAACACAAGGTAGGGTCGCTTCTCCCTGATGGACGGACCCAGGCTGTCAGTCAAGATCAGGCAGCAGGAGTCCCCTCCAGAGGAACCTCGAGAGGCCCCGCTGTGGCCCACTGGAACTTCTGCAGTCTTCTGCTGTTCTGGGGCACCTGCCCATGCAGTAAATTCCTCTACAGGTATTCTCTCGCGTAATTCTTTCATCTGCTGAAGCCCCCACCACCCCGCACCCCCATCACCAGGTTTGTCCGGGAAGCCCTTGCACCCCCAGCCAGGGCGAGTCAGTTGTTCTGTTCTCAGGGCTCCAGACCCTTTGCTTATTCTTCAGTGTCCCTGAGGACTGGAACCCGTCCTCCCCATTACAGGGGCACACACCTCCCACTCAGCAGGGCTCTAGAAAGTCAAGCCAAAGGAGACAAAGGCAGGACAGCCCCCCTCCCCAAGGCAGAGCCCTTCACACCTTGCCCACCAGGGCGTGGAGGTTTGGGACGTGGCTATAGAGGGTGGGCTGCACAGCCTCAGAATGGCATGACCTGGAGGGGCAAATTCCTTGGTCCTCCCAAACCTGTCCTTTGTGGGTGAGTGTGAATGGGGAAGAGGGAGGGAAGAACAGCTTCCTAGAGGAGGTGGGCTTTAGGGAGCCCCAGAGCAGGCTCAGTAGACACCCCCACACCTCTCCAACACCCTCTAGGTAGGAACCTGGGGAATGCTCTGCCCTGCTCCTTTGATAAAGTCAGGGGTGGGGGCCGAGAGTCAAGGCAATGCCTGGATTGATTTCAGCACCTCGGCCTTGCAGAGTTACCGCAGGGGGAAGGTGCTCTTGCCAAACGCCCGGCTTACAACATCCCTCCCCAGCATCCCTGCCCCCACAGCCCCTCACCTGACTCTGGAGCTCACTCTGTTGCTTGAGGCGAAGGTTTTCCGGGGTGTCGGCCACCATGGTGAAGGACTGCTTGGGGTAGTGTCTGCAAGAAGCAAAAGAAGACTCAGGGTCACTCTGGGGAAGGGGCAGGAGCCACTGGGCTTCTCACAGAGCGCTCTCTCCTGGGAACTACCTCCTAGGCCTGGGCAGCCCCTGCCCCGGCCCCACAGGGGGACCTCAGTGTCCACTGCCAACGCCAAGGGGAGACAAGCATTTCTCAGACTCAGCTGGGACTGGCTGACCTGGGAAGACACAGCAGGCATCAGTGGCAGGCCGGCCAGGAAAGCTGTCTGAGCGAAAGGATGGCCATCAGGACACTCTCTGAGGGTTGAAGGTCACCCTTGTCTGGGGATAATCCATGCCCTAGTGCCTACCACACACAGAACTCGAGGCCACTGGGCCCGACTAGGGGAAGATGGGCACGGGTTCAGCTAAGACCCGAAGTGGAGACCAGCCATGCAGAGGAGGGTACAGGGGAACAGAAAAAGAAGGGGACGGCCAGGTGTGGTGGCTCACTTTGAGAGGCCAAGGTGGGCGGGTCACAAGGTCAGGAGTTCAAGACCAGCCTGGCCAACATGGTGAAATTTTTTAGTCTCTACTAAAAAATTAGCCAGGCGTGGTAGCACACACCTGTAATCCCAGCTACTCAAGAAGCTGGGGTAGGAGAATTGCTTGAACCCAGGAGACAGAGATTGCAGTAAGCTGAGACCACGACACTGCAACTCCAGCCTGGGCAGCAGAGCAAGACTCCATCTCAAAAAAAAAGGAAAAAGAAAAAGAAAGGGACACACATATCCAGGGGGACTTCCTGGAGGAAGTGGTGATAGAGAAAACACAAGACCAATGTGGTGTTTCAAAGGGTGAACAAGGTCCAACTTCATTTCAGGGTAGGTGGGAAGGCCAGCCTGAGGACGAAAAAGGAGGTCACCTGCGGGTGACAGGTAAAATACAGGTTGAATATCCCTTTTTTTTTTTTTTTTTTTGAGACGGAGTTTCACTCTTGTTACCCAGGCTGGAGTACAATGGCACGATCTCGGCTCACCGCAACCTCCACCTCCTGGGTTCAGGCAATTCTCCTGCCTCAGCCTCCTGAGTAGCTGGGATTACAGGCATGCGCCACCATGCCCAGCTAATCTTTTGTATTTTTAGTAGCGACGAGGTTTTTTCACCATGTTGGCCAGAATGGTCTCGATCTGCTGACTTCGTGATCCACCCGCCTCGGCCTCCCAAAGTGCTGGGATTACAGGCTTGAGCCACCGCGCCCGGCCTGAAACATAATTATTGACTGCTTTTTGACCTGTGACCTATCACACGAGGCCAGCTGTGGAATTTTCCCTGTGGCATCATATCAGCACTCAAAGTTTTCTATCTTAGAGCACTTCAGATTCTGGAATTTTGGATTGGGGCTGCTCAATCTGTAGTAACAACAGTGGCTCACGCCTGTAACCCTAGCACTTTGGGAGGCTGAGGCCGGCGGATCATGAGGTCAGGAATTCAAGACCAGCCTAGCCAACATGGCCAAACCCCGTCTCCACTCAAAATACAAAAATTAGCGAAACGGTGGTGTGCACCTGCAATCCCAGCTACTCAGGAGGCGGAGGCAGGAGAATTGCTTGAACCTGGGAGGCAAAGGTTGCAGTGAGCCAAGATCGCCCCACTGTACTCCAGCCTGAGTGACAGAGAGAGACTGTGTCAAAAAAAAAAAAAAAAAATAGTGAATGTTCGCCCTGTGCTAAGGGCTTACGTGCTCTAGTTCACCAAATTCTCACAGCCACCAGGTGTAACTGGTACTCAGTGTACCCCTTTGACAGATGGAAGAACTGAGGCCAGAGAGGTTAAAAACATGACCAAGGCACACAGGGATCCAGCTCTGCACCCAGACAATCTCTTCAGTTCATGCTGAACTAAGCCGCCCAATTTCCAGGCCCAGGAAGGCCTGACCCCCAGCAAGACGGCCTAGCTTGGAGGTAGCCAGAGCCAGGGCAACCCTCAGAGTCTGCAGAGACCTCTAGAAGAATCTGGTCCAACTCCCTCATTTCAGAGGAGGAAACGGTGTGCTGGCACCAGGCACCTCTCCCTTAGCCATCTTCATAATTAACTGATTTATCACAGCAATGTATTATTGTCTCCTCTCTCCACTACTTCACTATGAGGGGGCGGATTTTGGGGTCTCTTTTGTTCATTGATTTATCTCAGGCTCCTAGAATAGAAGGCAATGCTCAATAAATAATTGTTGAATAAACAAAAGTCAGGCTGGGCGTGGTGACTCACACCTGTGATCCCAGCACTTTGGGAGGCCAAGGCAGGTGGATCACTTGAGGCCAGGAGTTCGAGACCAGCCTGCTAACATGGTGTAATTCCATCTCTATTAAAAATACAAAAATTAGCCAGGTACAGTGGCGCACAACCATAATCCCAGCTACTGAGGAAGCTGAGGCAAAAGAATCGCTTGAACCTGAGAGGCAGAGATTGCAGTGGGCCATGACTGCACCACTGCACTCTAGCCTGGGTGACAGAGCGAGACACTGTCTCAAAAAAAAAAAAAAAAAAAGTCACACCAGGAGTTGACGCTGGTACAGGGCTAGAACTCAGTCCTCCTCCATCCCCCTCTCATCATGAAGTCCCCTGGCAAACCAGCTGCAGGAGAGACAGGCAGCTGTGAGTCATGGTGGTTTGTGTGTACGTGCTGGCATGAGAATCGGCTGAGGGGCTGCATGGGCCCCAGTTACTTCAGGGACTGGTGGGTGGTTTCTCCAAGCAGGAACCCACCAAGTCATTTTTAGCCCTGGATGACCACAACCACAGCCCACCACAGCTGTGAGCCCTGAAGATTCCTGACTCACAGGCCACACCCAGGTAAGCGATGGATTGCCTCCTGGGACCTCTTCCTAGGCACATCCCACCCAAGGCTGACAAACCCATGAGCTAGGCACCAGCTGCCCCTCTGCCTGGCAGCCCCTGTTCTCCAGCCGCCCACACCGCCCTCCATCAGAGCTACCTGTAAACAGGTGACTTCCCTTAAAGCCACCCACCACTTGTGAAGGGCAGGGCTCAGGATTTGAGGACTCAATCAAGGGAGGCATAACCTGAAAGGACCCAGTGCAGGGCTCTGGCCTGGCCACTGACTTAACTGGGTGACCTTGGCAAATCCTTCTTCCCTTGGGCCAGTTTCACTGTCCCAGATCCAGGTGATTCCAGCAGTCCCCTCCCCCAGCCCTCACCAGGGTCCTGGCCATCCAGGTCAGCCCAGACTTGCAGGTTCCCCCGGCAGAGGAAGGGAAGCAGATGAGGCAAGGCAAACACAGGCCAGGCAAGGTGGCTCATGCCTATAATCCCAGCGCTTTGGGAGGCGGAGGCGGCAGGATCACAAGGTCAGGAGTTCGAGACCATCCTGGCCAACATAGTGAAACCCCATCTCTAAAAAAATTAATAATAAATAAACAAATAAATAATAAAGGCAAACACAGGTGCCCACAGCTGGCAACAGACATGGCTTGATGAACATGCAACCAAGTCTGGGGTCCAGTCCCCGTGTCACCCACAGAGCCACCCACAGCTGAGGAGCTCCCTTCAAAGTTCCTGCACAATTCTAGGGCAAGGGAGGATCAACCTCGTCTGTTCCTGGAGACTAGAAAGGGAAGATCTCTAGCAGGGCCGGCAGGCCCTGAGGCCTTAAGAGGGAGGCTTCAGAGACAAGATGACCCTCCCCCAAAATCAGAGCCATTCTGCAGCTGTAAGGGCGGGGGTGGGGGGGGCTGTGAAGAGGAGGGCGTCGGGAAGCAGAGGCACATGTGGCAGGGGCAGGTTCGGGGAGAAGAGACCTGCAGGCACCTCTGGCCCAGCACTCAAAGACTCAATTCTGAAAAGATGAAGCTGGTTAGCATTTGGTGGGAGGGGTAGAGGCAAGCAGGGCAAATGCATCCTCGGGGGCCAGTCTGCAAACCCTGGGGTTTCTCATTTGCCAGAATGCACAGGGTTAAAACAGGCCAGGCTGGGCGCAGTGGCTCACGCCTGTAATCCCAGCACTTTGGGAGGCCCAGGCGGGCAGATCTCTTGAGGCCAGGAGTTCAAGGCCAGTCTGAGCTACAGCACAAGAGCTCGTTTTAAATAAATAAATCAATAAAACAGAGGCTAGCCCCTACGGCCCAAGGACCACCAGACAGGTGCACCTGACATGTCCCACCCACTCCACAGCCCAAAGCTCCTAAACACACTGCACTGTGCCTCACACATGATGAATATACAGATGTGCCCTCTGCACGGATGGGCGCCTCCAAGGAACCGAGGCCAGCAGGTCTACACTTGGCACACACACCCCCGCACCCCACACCGTGTCCCTCTCCTCGCCCTACACCCACTGGAAGGTCTCGGGAGCCCCTCCAACATGAAGCAGGCACCTTGGGTGAGGTTGGCAGGTAGTTCATCCTCTCTTCGGAAGCACCCCTCCCCCACTCTCACTCCCCCACAGCTGCAGCGCTAATCCCATCAGAAGGGAAGTGGAGGTGAGCCAGCCCAGATGTGAGCTCAGCTTAATTTGGCAGGGGTAAGGGAGGATTTTAATCCTGCATCAGATTAACTAAAGAGGCACTCCAGACCCTCCAAGCTCCTACCCCAGCCCCCTAAGCCCAACCCCAGGCAGAGGAAGGCAGGCAGACAGCTCGGGTTATATTCCTCCTGCTGGGTCAACCCTGTCCCCTCCCCACAGCCCAAAGTCCCCCGCCCCCAGTCCTGGCGAGACGATTCTGCCTTTCCCTCCCCCTGCTTACTACGCTTCAGGTTTCCATGGCAACCTCATCTTCAGCTCCAGGCAGGAGAGCAGCGAGAGAGCGAGAGCAGAGAGAGAGAGAGCGAAAGGGAGGGAGGAGAGGTCTATGGGGGTGGTGGAAGAGACACAGACAGCAAGGGGGCCCTCAACTAAGGAGAAGCCCATGAGGGCAAAGTCAGGAGACTGTGTCTCCAGGATCTTTGTGGATAATTTAGGTGAGAGGACAGGTGTCACCGGTTTGTTTCTAGAAGCAAGGGCATGAGAACATCAGTGCACAC